TGTGTGTGGATCCTAAACGTGTTTGTCTATGAAATTTGTCGCTAAAGGTTCTTAAATAATTGGTTTTCTTAAAATCCATAGCTAAATGGGTTAACATGAGATTTTGTTATTTAGCTACGAAATATTCGCAATTTTCTTGTTTTCTAGTAGTGAATTTTGTCCAAATTCCAATATAAAAGGTTGTAGGTTTGGATTAATTCACTAAGATGAAAAGAAACCGCGGATTTACTACTTTCTTTGGAAGTTCCATAGATTAATCTTTTAATTGTTAATTAATTTGGCTTAAAACACTCTCCTATTCGTCTATACTACTTAATTCTTTGTAGTTATTAACAAAATATTATTATCCTCTTCTTTTGTTTTTGCAGAGAAGAGAAAGAAACAAATTCATTCTTTGCTTGAAAAAAATTGAATATAATGAGTTTGGAAGAATACTATAGTCGAGTTCCTTTTTCCCCACAACCACACCCTTGGCTTGCTAATTTTTTTCATGAAGATGACAACAAGCAAAAGCAAACATTTTTCAGTCTATCGGAGGATCGGACTATACTTGAGCTTCGAAACAAAAAAATATGTGCCAGTGCTCATGACTCGTTTATATTGTTTGACTATGATTCTGGAGATTGTTATATTTGGAATCCTATTTCAAACGACAAAATTCATATGCCACCACTCTCAACAAATATTAGGTCCGACAAGTTACAATGCCTCTTGTCTTTACCACCTCATGATGGTGATCAATGTAGTATTCTCTTCTTTGACCCGCCTTCTTCACTTTACTTCTACAAGCCAAGTTATGATAAAAAAATTCATAAACACGATATAGAAATAATTATCGAGGGTCAACAAAGTCATTTGACAACCTGCACAGTTTTCAAGGGAAAATTCTACGGATTGACATGTCCAGGATCAATTCTGGTACATTTAGATCTAGATCATGACTTGGGAATAGTAACAGTTACACCATTGGTTAACCAACGCGCGTATGGTGGTGGGGAATTATTAGAAATGCCAAGGTGGGGTGAATACCTCGTCGAATCCTCATGTGATGGTAATGATATGTTGTTATGCGTTTACCAAGTTGTCTTATGGATGGCTCCTGAGCCAAGTATACGGTTTTTTAGTGTATCGATTTGATTTTGAGAAAAGCATGGGTAAAGATGGAAAGCATTGGCGAAACTGCAATTTTTCATATGTGGTTCCACAGGGACACGTTGCTCGACAAGAGGCAACAATCTTATTAAGAAAGGATCCATCTATTTCACCGAGGGTCGTTGTGTTTATCTCTTTGATTTGGAAACGCAAAAAATATCCATAGTATCTCTCCCATGCCCACTTGTAAGCAAGGAAAATACGAACTTTAGCTGGTTAACACTTCCACACAAATGCAATTGATCAATTTCTAGTATTTTTTTAAAAGGTTTTTATCTTTGATTGTTGAATCTTTTTTTTAAAATGATTCATTTTATAAATTGGAGTATATTTGTCAGCTGAGGCAAAATTTAAATGTTTGTTTATTTATGCATTATGCATTTAATTGCCTAGCAAAAATATATTATTTTTTGCTCCTGAACCAAATAGAGCTCCAATTTGAGAATACCTTTTTTCTTGAATAATTTGGTCACGTGGAGTCAACCAATTTCACATTGCAACTCTCTTAATGACAAGAATAAAATACAAGATAATTTTTTTTGCCAAAAGTGCAATGAAGAACAAATTTGAGCAATTTTTGATGGTACTCGAACACACAATCTTAAGATTGAATGTGAGGATGCTTACCATCTGAGCAACTTTTCTTGTCCTGTCAATTCATCTCAATTCTCGACACATATTATTAAATTTTTTGGGTGACTTTTCAAAAGAATTTACATATTAACAAGTAAATCACAAGCACAGAAGACGAAGAACATCAGAAATGGTTTGTTCTTCTAGGTACAGGTAAAACATAATGTTAAAAAAGACAACAGATAAAAGATCAAATAACCTTTCTTTCCAACGTTTGCGTCCATTTCCAATATCGACTAAAATGCAGAAGCTAGTAGTAGAGGATTAAACGAATTGAGACAGAGCACCCTCGGTTGGCATCCTCTTGTTATGTTTTGTTGGAAGAAGGGAGCCAGACTCCTTGCATTTGGACCACTTGGAAGGCTTTCTGTCCTCTTTCCTCCAAAGCTTGGCAGCTACCATCCTGAATCCACTCTTTGCTCCAGTAACTATAAGCTTAATGAGCTCTCTGAAATTCAAAAGGGCAATTGTCAAATAGTAAAGTAACATCTATTAGAAAAGTAGCTGGGATTGAGTTGTAGCAGTTGTTGTCATTGTGTTTGAAAAGAAAATCCTAGACTGCAACCTTCAAACTTTCATTTGTTTCAATTGAAAGACAGATTCAAGCTTACTTCATAGTTAAAGGAAAACGTGCAAAAGTAAATTAGCGCTTATCAACTGCTTTTACCCCACACGGGAATCTAACTGGCACTGACTATTAGGTGAAAGTGATTCACCAATACAGACATGACTACTACTATCATGTTATGGAACTTGGAACAATTTCTTCACAACACTTCAGCGTATTCCAGTTCTCATTTTTTTTCACCCTTCCCAAGAAACTTGGCACTAAATAGTAATTACTGTGCCTTCTCCTCCCAAGGATATATTGGATAGGAGCCTCCTAAAGGATCATTTCAAATAGATTATGTGATATTTGATCTACTCTTCAGTTAAAATGAACCTGAATTAGATTCTATTCCTCTCTTTATCCTCAAAAGAATTCCCCATCCGAACTGTTCTTAATACCACAAAGCTTTTTCGAATCAATTTTATTCTTTCTACTTTGGAGTTCAAGTATGCCAGAATCCTGCGCTACAATGTGATAGCAATATCAGGCTACCACTTTGAGAAGAGGGCAGGAGGCCATCTTCATCCCTACAACCCCAAAACTCACACTTCTCCGAGTTTCACATGTTTGATGCTCTTTTAGTCCAGGGAGTAGACACTAAGGGGTCATTTGGTAGAGTGCATTAGAAAAATTAATGCATGCACTACTTTTGTATATTACTAGTACCTTGTTTGGTACATTTTTCAACCTATGTATAACTCTCTATTTGGTATTATGATATGTATAACTAATACCTAGCTAACCATGGTATTAGTAAGCAAGGGTTTAATGCATACATCAACATGGATAAAAACACAATTGCCTCTCAAATCCCTTTCCACTCCCTTCCCATCATATTTGTGGAGGGTATTTTTGTAAATATTATTTTAAAAAGAAATTATGCAATGCATGTTATTTTAAATAAACCAAATCAAACAAAGAATAAGAAATAATCTCCGCATAACTAATATAAGCACTACTAATGCTAATGCTATTACTAATACACTCCATTCAATGATATTCTTATGCACCCTACCAAACGACCCCAAAATGCATGAAGCCAACTGCCCATCACAAATAAGTGATTTCTGTTCTTTCTAACTGAAACTGAATCAAACAAGACAAAGCAGTGTCACAAAAGAGGAAAGGTAAAGATAATTAAGTTCTACCAGGGTTTCCCAATATTCCCAAGTTTAAAATCAGAAAGCATCCATAAAGCATGTTGAACTCTCAATATAGAATTGGACAACCTGGGAAATATAGTGGTCCAAGAGTTTGCAACAGCAGATTTGCTCAATGGCCTCTCTAACAAATCCTCAAGCTGAAAACTGTGAATAACAGATCATCTTCTCAAGGGTGCTTTATGTATTTTACTCCAAAAGAATGACAGTGTATTTTTACTAACAACACTCTTTTGAACCGTGAGGGACATTAAATTGATAAAAGAAGGCTCTACCAGGATAATATTTACAAATGACAAATTAATCAATCATATTGGTCAATAATGATAAGAGGAAACTCTCATCATGTGAGTTCAGAGAAAAGGGAAGTTTGCACTTACAAGGGTGAGCAAGGAGAGCGACCACCATTCACATAGTAGATGAACAAGTACGCATCGTAATGCTGACCATTAATAAAATAAAAGGCAGACAGCCTCCTCACACACTGAAAGGACATTTTCTTGTACAAGTATATGGCAGGGTTATTATATGAGATCACATGTAGGTAAACTGCTCGACAAATCGGGATGTTCGAGGCATATTTTATGACCTCGCGAATTAGAGAACTGGCTGAAAATCCAAAAGTGCAGAACATTTAGTAAGTCATAAAATGAAAGATAGAAGTACAACTAAGAGTGTGTATGAGAAAAGAAAGCCTCACCTATTCCAAGATTTCTATAAGAGTCTGCAACCCCCAGAGTCAAGATGTAAATCAGTGTTTGCTCTGATCTAGATGAGTCATACCTCAGAAATTCTTCTATCTGTAGGTGTGTTAGTCAAAATTAATAAAATTTTGCAAGGATAAAGTCTAAGAGTAACAAGGCAGAAGAGCTCACGTCACTGTCTTTTGCTAGAACAGTCCGGGCAGTCACAAATCCAATAAGCTCGTCACTTTGCTCATTGGGTCGATTACGATCAACAGCTCCCCATGACACAATGTCCCGTCCATTAACAACATTTTGGAAGAACTCAGACTCATATCTAAATACCCAAAAAGAAAAAAAGTTATTGACAAGATTAGATGTATACTTTAAAGGAGCACACTCCATTTTGAAAGTTCAAGACAATATGTAACAGTATGGTACTTGAATGACCCAAACATGAAATAAATAATCTGACCTGATCGGGAACAGATCCCCATGGATTTTCTCAAGTACTTCTAAATCAGAGGTTCGTATTGGCCTATATTGTATGAGCGGATTGTGAGAGAGTTTGAGGTTCAGCATCGCACAATCTAGTATCAATCCCCAGCAAACAATTGGTGTATCTGTAAAGCTCGTTTGAGAAGTGTTCTCTCCATCTATACATCATCAACCACAATGGCCATTTAATCTCTGCAAGTAGTTGATTTCTTTCTCTTCATCAATTGCTTTATACACGTGAGGTAGAATAAAACCTAAGCCTCACAAGAAAGTCAACTAAAGCTGTCCAGTAACAATCCCTCTGGTACTAGGAGCTCCAGCAGCTTTCACCACGCCAAATATGTACTACATAAAATAAAAAGGACGCGAGGTTGAATAAGTTCACAAATCTACACATTAGCCTTTTTCTTCAGTAGAAGAGCTCTTATCCAAGTCTCTAGTATCTAAAAATTCAGAACTTGGTTTTAGGCTATCAAATACAAGACTTGTATACTAAAAACTTGGCGACTCGAATGATGAAAGATCCCATCAGACTTCATGGTTTGTTTTCAAAGTTGGGAGGTTAACATATAATAGATGGCAATAAAAAACTAGGAACTTACACTCAATATTTGACAACCTTCAGAATATACATTTTGGGTTGAACCAAATTCTAGCTTCTAACAAGTCTCTACTTCAAGTTCGAAAAAGGAAACACTAATGTGAATCAAGAGCTTTCTCATGGAATTAGTAGAGTTGCGTGCAAGCTGGCCTACACACAACACCAAGGTTATCAAACATAAAAAAGACAAGACCTTTCTAAATCCTGCACAATTACCAAGTAAACTCGAGTACCCAATTCCTAATGTATCAGAAATTAATGGTGTGGCTTATAGCAGCCATCCACAACTGCTACGAAGTTCCACCTACTACCAAACTTAGCTAAAATTTTCAACCAGAAACAAAAAATCAAAAGAATACCCAATTGAACTCGAGGAAAAACAATCGCCCCAACAACAACAGTGTCACTGATCGAAACCAACAAAAGGGTATGAAAAATGAAATCGAACTTCATGATCTCTATACCGAAAATTGTTAGATCAGCAGCAAACAATTAATTACCTGAGATGTAGCAGTTGAATTTGAATTTTGGATGAAGCAAGAAAGAGGTATATGTATGGAAAAAAATCAGCGATTCCTTTCTGTTTCGTCGGAGATAAAAATCCTTTGACTGAAAATGAAGAAGGAATCCAATTCTCTTTCAATTTTCTTCCCGTCGACGACTCAGCGATACAACTTTGCCGATGCATCCAAATATCTCAGTTGCCTCAATTAACTAAGATTTTGCAGATCCATTAATTTTTTTTATTCAAATTATATGGGATAATGTTTTTTAAAAATAAATAAATAAATGGTGAGGGTAATTTGTTTTTATGACAAGAGCTACACAATTAAGAGGGAAAAAAAAAGGAAATTTAGCAAAGTAATAATTGACTAATTGAACTTAAATACACTATCATGTAATATTAAATTTTCGTCAAATTTAAAAGTGTGGGTTTAAAGTATGAGATCAAATCAAATATGATTTGGTTTGGTTTTATATTTTTAAAAATTGATAATAATTGGTTTAATTTTAGTTTTATTCAAAGAAATCACCGAACGGAGAAATTATATACATATTTTTTGTAATCATATATACATAATATATTGTTTTTATGAATAATTATATCTTTTGTAAATATAATGAGAGCCAACATCCACTCCTTGTAGCTATTCAATAGAACTTGCTTTTCACTTTCTTCGAAGTATCTTGTACTTAATAAATTGAAAGTATACTCCTATGGTGCTCCTTATGAATTATCCTATTTTAGTTCTTTATGCTCAACTTTTATCTATCATTGCATATATTTTTGCAAACAAGATTGCAATTTTGTCATGTGTTTTACTGCTTGATTGGATGATGGTTACCTATTGCATTGTGTTGTTAGCTTAAATATAATACTTATTTTTTTAGGTAAACTTACATAAATATATTATATTAAGAAAATATTTATCATTTATAACAATAACATTTTTTCACTTGATAAAACACATATAATACAAGTTTTATTGATGAATCACATATTTTAATACAATGTGTCAATTTCTTACCAAACAAACATAATATATTTTAAAACAGTTACAATACATATATATTGCATACATGATTCATTTTTAATACATATTGCAGATTTATATAGTCTAGCTATAAATGATAATAAATAAAAAGTATCGCTAAAATCAGTAACTAAAATATACTCATCCAAATAATTTTTCCTTGTGTTGATTATTATTTAAATTCTATTCTATCATCTTGTTAAATTTACCATTATGAAACAAACGAGAAGTCCAATTTTATTATAATGATTGATTTGATGTGATTGCTTACTTAAGATCATCTCCAATCCATCTCTAATTTAGTAGGCGTTTGGCCATGCGATACCATATCACGATATGGTGTCGTGAGATGGAATCAACGTTTGGACATGCGATTTTACGCTGATTCCATCTCATGATTCCATATCATGAGAGGTGATACCATATTCTCCAAAAACCATGATATGGAATCACCATGTGATTCCATATCATGATTTGAGATATTTTAATACAATAATTGATCCATGAGTTTATATTTTGTTAAAACAACCCCACATTTATATCTA